ATACTACCACTACCTGTTACACTAAGAACACACATTAAGGGATTGTGGAGAGGAATGGAGTTGTTGCAGAAAGAAGAAACTGCCGGTCCTTAGATTCAAACATTAGCATCATCTGCCTGGGAGAGGAAGCAGGAGAATCCAGATTGCTAGAGAACCGTGATGCAGAATTGGATGCCCTATCAAACACTAGGTGGTGGATAGCTGTTTGACTGTGTTTCCAGGAGGGGAATGACCCTGCCTCCCCTTTGACCTTAGAAGCCTTCCCACATCTGATTTCTTTAAGAATTACATCTATGTTGGTTAGTGTCAATGTCAGAGGGGATGAGAGAATCTTTCACTTATTTCAACTGAAACAGAAACATGCTTGTTAACCTCAGCGCATAAGACCAGCCCTGCTGGATCAGCTCAAAGGCCCATCTAGTCCAACCTCCCGTTCTCACAGTGGTGGAGCAGATACCCACGGGAAGCCCACAACTAGAATCTGAGCACAAGAACACTCTCTTCTCACTTGTGATTCTCAGGTATTCAGAGGCATACTGTCTCCAAAAGTAGAGGGTAGAGCACAACCATTGTGGCTAGTAGCCACCAACAGTCTTTATCTCCATGAATTTGTCTAATCCCATGTTATCCAGGTTGGTGGCCACCACTAACTCTTGGTGGGAGCAGATTCCCTCGTCTAGCTATGCACTGTGTGTGCATGTGGCTACATCACACAAGGACCGAGCTTCTACAGAGGGAGGACTTGCCTCCAGTCGTATTGCTGCATTTGGGATACAGGGTGAAACAGAAAAAAATCTGCCTTAAAAATTTGGATTGGACAGTTTCAAGAATGCTACAATTATTACCCGTCCAAATTTGGGCCCCGTAAAGTATCTGTGCCAAAGACTTGGCTTGAAAAACTTCTAGGGCTGCTGGGATGCATTTGCCGTCCTTCGTATGAAAAAAACGGGACAGCATCTTAGCACTTTGGGCTGCTTTTTCTTTAACACATTTTTGGTGTACATCTCCTGACCCCGATGACTGGAAGACTATGCCCAGGTATTTAAAGGCTTTAACCTGCTCAACTGGGTGATTGTCCATGCTCCAGCTATGTGATCTATGTTTCCTTGAGAAAACCATGACTTTCGTTTTCTGATAGTTTACCACCAGCTGTTCTCTCTCAACATCACACACTTACACACAACACACTCCCTCAGCTCAGTGGACTAAAGCAGATGCACAACTTGAAAAAGTGTCTTACCTCACAGCTTTGGAGGTGGGGATATATATGTGGGTCACACCACTTCACTTTTCAGAAGGTAGAACTACATACTGTGTATTTGAAAACCAAGTGTATTATTCAACCCAGTTCAAGGTGCTCATGTTAGTGTTTAAATCCCTAAATACCCTCTTGGGCATTAAGATCAGCTGAGGTGGACCCTCTTGGCTGTTCCACCCCCCTCAGAAGCCCGGGGAGGTGGTCCATGAGAGGTCATTCTTTGTGTCTGTGCCTTAAGCTGTGGAATTCTGGAGTTTGGGTATACAGTGGTACCTTGGGTTAAGAACTTTATTCGTTCTGGAGGTCCGTTCTTAACCTGAAACTGTTCTTAACCTGAAGCACCACTTTAGCTAATGGAGCCTCCTGCTGCTGCCGAACTGGTGCTGCACGATTTCTGTTCTCATCCTGAAGCAAAATTCTTAACCCGAGGTACTATTTCTGGGTTAGTGGAGTCTGTAACCGGAAGCGTCTGTAACCTGAAGCATCTGTAACCCGAGGTACCACTGTATTTAGCATGGAGAAGTGAAGGTGGAGAAGTGACATGATACCCATCTTCACATATCTAAAGAGCTGTTGTATGGAAGACGGAGCAAGCTTGTTTTCTGCTGCTCCAGGGAAGAGGACCCGGACCAATGGATTCAAATGACAAGGAAGGTAGTTCCGATGAAAGATTGAGAAGAACTTTCTGACGATAAGAGCTGTTTGAGATAGTGGAAGGGACTACCTGGACTCTCCTTCATTGGAGGTTTTTGAACAGAGGTTGGATAGCCATATGTCCGGAATTGTTTAGTTGTGATTCCTGCATTGCAAGGGGTTGAACTAGATGGCTCTTGCGGGATGCTTCCAAATGCAGTTTTAAGTTTCTGTAACTCCTCCCTACAAACATGCATCTGGCATTTTAATGGTACAACTTCCAGGAAATGCTGAATATACACTTAAGGTGTATATTTTAGGACCCACCTTATGTATACCTGAAGGAGCATCTCCACCCCCATCGTTCTGCCCGGACGCTGAGGTCCAGCGCTGAGGGCCTTCTGACGGTTCCCTCATTGCGAGAAGCAAAGCTACAGGGAACCAGGCAGAGGGCCTTCTCGGTAGTGGCGCCCGCCCTGTGGAACGCCCTCCCATTAGATGTTGAAGCGATAAACAACTACCTGACATTCAGAAGACATCTTAAGGCAGCCCTGTTCAGGGAAGTTTTTAATGTGTGACATTTTAGTGTATTTTTGGTCTCTGTGGAAGCCGCCCAGAGTGGCTGGGGAAACCCAGCCAGATGGGCGGGGTACAAATAACAAATTATTATTATTATTATTATTATTATTATTATTATTAATGTGATTCTGAGTTTATTTAAACTGTTTTTAATAGTGTATTTTCATTGTTGGAACCCACCCTGGGACCTTAGGGTGAAGGGCTAAAAAATAGTAATAAGAGTAATAGCAACAACAACGATCATATCCCCGTCCCCTTCATTTTCAGCGATATAACAGCAAGGTCTTTCCGCAGGCTATTCTGTTTCTTAAAAGTGAGCAAAGGGCCTACGCAGGATGAGGAGGGGAATGATCTTTCCAAGGCCACAATTTCCACCCTATAAAAGCGCCTGCTTGAGAATAAATCCATTTTTCTTCCTCACAGTATTAAGGCTCAAGAAATTCCATGGAAAATAATTTGTCAAGATTTCTGGCTGATCAAAGAAGCGTATAAAAAGCCCCCATTTCTTTCTTTCTTTTTTTAAAACCCCCCAAAATAAATAAAAATGGCTAAAGAAACCCCCCTCCGAGCTCAGAACGAATTGGCCATCCATTTACCCAACTGTCAGGCAGGGGCAGCGCAATCCTTAACGTGTCTTTAGCAGGAGCCTGAGCCAGAAGGAAGCAATTCTGTGGCCACTGTGTGTCCATGCATGGGGTATGTTAATGATTAGAATATCTCGGCCCAAGGGAATCGGTAAGATATGACTCAGATTTGCAAAAGCCCCATAAATCTCCCTTCTTCTTATACAAAATGTGTGCTTTATAGCTTTTTCTTGGCCGATGGCATACATACATAACAGAGCACGGTGGGTTTGCATCTGAGCTCCCCAAACGAGTGTTTTTCGTCTTTGGGCTCAAGCCATGAAGAACAGACTCTTTTCTGTGCGATTGCTACTATTTCCTGGCTCAAGGTGAATGCGGACAATGGTTGGTAACTTACTAGGGGGGCATCTCTTACAATTAGGGATGCAGGTTGCTGCTGGTATAATAATATAATATAATATAATATAATATAATATAATATAATATAATATAATATAATATAATATAATATTATAATATAATATAATATAATATAATATAATATAATATAATATAATATAATATAATATAATATAATATAATATAATATAATATAAAATAGAATGTAGAATCGGCAAAGTTAACAGCTAAAATAAGATGACCTAATGATGATTGTTTTGTGGAATAATGGAAGCTTTTTTCAAATTATTTAAAGAAATACTATAGTAGCATCAATTTGCGATCAGGATTTGAACTATGAGCCACAGAAGGAATTAGAGATTATTGTATTGCTGTTATGGTTCAAGAGAGAGAAGGCAGGGTGTAGCAAGGGGGAGAAATGAAAATGAAAATTCACCATAAGAACACAAGAAGATCTCTGCTGGATCAAGCCAATAGCATCCTATTTTCACAGCAGTCAACCAAGCTGTCTGTGTGTAGGGTTGCCATATTTCAAAAAGTAAAAACCTGCAAAGATGACAAGCCTACCTGTGTGAATTCTGAAAAGAGCAACACCTGATTGCAAAGTTCTCCTGATACGCACATTCCTAGATGCAATTTCTCCTAATATAATACACTTTTGTTTGTTATTTTCATTCATATATTCAGTTTATATGCACCCTAGTGCATTTGTATTTGAACAACATGACTTGTTGAGATGCAGGGCAAAATTCAGAGAGGTGAGATTGTCGAAGAATGGCTGCATTTTGGTTCATGTATTGTTTCCAGAAATGCAAACTGGGTAAATTTTCCTTTAAATGTGAAATGAATCTAATTTTTCCACCATCTGTAGTTGCAATGCACCTTGGGAAAGATAAATCATGAGAACTACAAGCACCACAATGCACTGGGTACCTCTGAAAACACCCCGGCTATCATTAATGCAATCCAATCAAATTCCAGTTGTATGGGCCATTTCTGAGGATTGCTTGGACTTCTACCATGTTAAAATCACAGAGAGTATTTTTTTTTTTTAAGTACATCAGATAATTAGAAACTAATCAAAATCCCAGCCCACAAGGAAAGCCTCAGTGGGTTTCTGGTAGGAACACCTGGAAAAGATTGATCAAGACGTGGTCGGTGGAAGGAGATGATTTATGAGGAGTAAGCCTTGCTTAAGTAGGAGTTCTTTGGAAATATTGCTGCGGCAACTCTGGAGGGGGAAAAGCCCAGGGTTCTTCTTGAGTTACCAGTTTGTCAAGAAAAATCACTTGATATGGTTCCATGATAAAAAATTATTGCTCTTGATTTGCCATCTGCAAAGCTCTCCATCAGGGAAAGCCCTGCTCACTTCAATGGGATTGAGTCGAGATGGTGCCAGGAGATTTCAGGTTGCCGTTTATGACGGAACAAAGTGAAGAGTTGCAGGCCAGCTGAAGTCACTTCTCTAGAATTCAGTTCTAGAATCGTAGAGTTGGAAGGGACCACAAGGATCATCTAGTCTAACTCACTGCAATGCAGGAATCTTTTGCCTAACGTGGGGCTAGAACCCACGTCCCTGCGATTAAGAGACGCATGCTCTACCAACTGAGCTACCCCAGCTGGAACAAACTCCAGACCGATTTCCACTTTATGGGTTGTAGCCTACTCACTTCTGCTCATGCATGGGCAGTAAAATGGCAAATGCAATCCTACGTAAACAAGAGTAAAGTGATGCACATATAGGTGATCTGTTCTTATCCATTTTAGCAAGTTTTTCTGGAGTTTGGTGCCATCTATACATCATCTTCATTGTGTTTTCCCTGAGACTGTAGCAGGCCATGAATTTTATGTCTTTCCGCCATAATTTTTCCCATTGTTCCATGTAAATATTATAATCCAAATCTTGCGCCCATCTCACCACTACAGCTTTCACTTGTTCTTCCTTTACCTCCCATTCCAATAGGAGGTCGTATACCCGTGAGATTTATTTTCCTTTACTTGTGTTCAATACCAGGAGTATATATGATGGTAATTATATTAATCTTCTTATATCTTATAGTGTGGTGGCTTGTTTGATTTTTCTGTTATTTATTTGTTTGTTTGTGTATTTGTTTACGTCTGTTTTTCATATATGTATTTATTTTAAATTAATAAAGATATATACAGTGGTACCTCGGGTTACATACGCTTCAGGTTACAGATGCTTCAGGTTACAGACTCCGCTAACCCAGAAATAGTACCTCAGGTTAAGAACTTTACCTCAGGATGAGAACAGAAATTGTGCTCTGGCGGCGCGGCGGCAGCGGGAGGCCCCATTAGCTAAAATGGTGCTTCAGGTTAAGAACAGTTTCAGGTTAAGAACGGACTTTAGTGGTACCTCTGGTTAAGTTCTTAACCAGAGGTACCACTAAATATATATTGAAGCATAAGAACATTGAGGCATAATTGAGGCATACAAACATTAGAAGGCATATTGAGGCATAAGAGGCATTGAGGCATAAGAATATTAGAAGAGCTCACTGGATGCGGCCAATGGCCCAACTAATCCATCATCTTGCTTTCACATTGGCCAGCCAAATGCCTATGGGATGCCGGCAAGCAAGATTCAAGTACAAGAGCCCTCTCCCTTCCCATGATTTCCAGCATTTTTTAATTTTTTATTTATGCTTTATTATCCATACATGCATCCATACATTACTGACAACTCTTCCTTATTCTACATAAATCATTTTTTTCAAAAACTCAAATTCGACAAAAGAATATAAGTCTTCCTACAACACTTTGACATGTTCATTTGACTTCCTGTCCTTTCCAGCAATTGGTATTCAGAATCACTACTACCTCCAGCTGCAGAGGAAAAGCATAGCCATGATGGTTAGAAGCCTTCAACAGCCCTCTCCTCCATAAATCTGTCTAGACCTCTTTTAAAGTCATTTAGGTTGGCGGCCATCTCTGCCTCCTGTGGGAGCGAGTTCCATAGTTTAACTCTGCCCTTTGTGAAGAAGGCCTTCCTTTTATCTCTCCTGAATCTTTCCTCATTCAGCAGCTACATATCTTTTCACGTATACACTCATGGGGTCTGATTTGGTGGTGACTGACCAATTATAACTCATAGCTTTCTGTAGGCAGGCAGCCCTGTATCGGGAAGTTTTTAATGCCTGATGTCCCTCCTCCCCGCCCCAGTTCATTTTTATTGGTTTCTGGTTTATTTAGACATACATTCATCATATCACATTGTAACAACTTAATTTTCCTGTAATCAAACATATATTTTAAAAACCTAATAAAAGAAAAACAGCAACACAAAAATACATGCTTGTTTATTTGATCCATTTGTAATTCATTTGTATTTGACTTCCTTCCCCTTCTTAGTTGGGTCCTCAGTTTTATTTAATTGACTGCCCCTCCTAACATGGCCATTTATTCAGTAACCTGGTTCCTTTATATTTTACTGTTTTTTTTTGTTTGTTTTTATTTATTGGAATATATTCAAACAATATTTGAAAAACCATTATGGAGAATTAAAATTTTTGACCAGTTTAGAATAACTCCTGTAAGGAAAGAAAATAAAAAAATAGAAAAAATAAAAATAAATGTCTGATGTTTCATTGTGGTTTTTTTTTTATATTCTGTTTGAAGCTGCCCAGAGTGGACACTCGGGTTGCGAACGTTATCCATGCAGGATGCACGTTTGCAACCCGCAGCGATGCGTCTGCCCATGCGCGGGTTGTGATTCGGTGCTTCTGCGGATGCGCAAAGCGCGATTTAGCGCTTCTGCGCATACGCGACAGCCAAAACCTGAAGTAACCCGTTCCAGTACTTCCGGGTTTTGGCGGCCCATAACCCAAAAAAACACAACCTGAAGCATCTGTAACCCAAAGTATGACTGTAAAGTGATGCATGTCTGGGCAAGAAACATTTTATGTATCGCAGGCAAGTGCAAAGAAGCTGGTGAGTCCTCTACATCTGACTTCCATATGATTTAGTCGATAGAGCAGCTATTCTTCCTGGCTGCTCCAAGTCAGTATCTTTAAGTCAAATGCAGCAGGAAAAGGAGAGAGAGAGAGAGAGAGATGGGGGCATCCCATAAATCACAAAGGCCTTCCGATTTATCTCTGCTTGTAATCAAAGGGAATCTAAAAGAAAGAAAGACCTGGGGATATCGGAGTTTGCTTCTACCGAGGGAAACCAAGAAATGGGATACCGTTACCTGCCTCTCTGCACGAGCCAGGACTTTAAACCACATTAAAATAATAGCTGCATTCACTTGCGGTTACAAGAAGGATATTCTGTCCGAGAAGAGGAGGCATCCGGAATCATTCCAGTTTCAAAAAGTAACTTAACCAGAAGTTTTCTATATTAAAAGAAGAAGAAAAAATAATTGACTGCAACCTTAAATGAGATAAATGACTCAACCTGGCTCTGCAAAGGGAGGACAAAGGGAGCCTCTAAAACCAGGCGGACACAGCATAAGCGTTTGAAAAGGAAGAGCCCCACAAGAGCCATATAATGGCAAGAGTCTGCCAAGGAGATCACTGAGGCCGCTATTAGGATATAGGAGAGATACGCATATAAGCCAAGAGAGCACCAGATTTTTTTAATTTACCGCGAGAAGAGATAGTGGGTGGCAGGGAGGATGGCGGGAGACAGGTAGAGGAAACCGAACAAAGCTGGATTTGTCAGTCCCCAAATGCTGTTTAAAAAATATCAATGGTTTTCACAGGTGGATTCTTGGATTCTTGCTCTAGCAGGTCCTTGCAACAAGTGGAAACAGATTAGGAAGAAGCATTACGCCGAGTCAGGTTTGTATAGCAGATCAGTACTGTCTACACTGACTGGCAGCAGCTCTTCAGCATTTCAGGCAGGGGGTGTTCCCATCCCTACTCAGAGATGCTGGGGGTTGAATTTGGGACCTTCTCCAAGCAAAGAAGATGCTCTGTTATGGAGCTACAGCGATTCCCCAATCACAGGAGACTGCTTTATACAGAATCAGGCCATTGGTTCCATCTAGCTCAGTATTGTTTATGTTGATTGGTAGAAGCTCTTCAGGATTTTAGACAGCCCTATCTGGAGATTCCAGGGACGCGGGTGGCGCTGTGGGTTAAACCAAAGAGCCTAGGACTTGCCGATCAGAAGGTCGGCGGTTCGAATCCCCGCAATGGGGTGAGCTCCCGTTGCTCGATCCCTGCTCCTGCCAACCTAGCAGTTCAAAAGCATGGCAAACTGCAAGTAGATAAATAGGTACCGCTCCGGCGGGAAGGTAAACGGTGTTTCCGTGCACTGTTCTGGTTCACCAGAAGCGGCTTAGTCATGCTGGCCACATGACCCGGAAGCTGTACGCCGGCTCCCTCGGCCAATAAAGCGAGATGAGCGCCGCAACCCCAGAGTCGGTCACAACTGGACCTAATGGTCAGGGGGTCCCTTTACCTTTACCTATCTGGAGATTCCAGGGATTGAACTCCTGGACCTTCTGCATGCTTTGCCACTGAGCTATGATCATATAATGAAGGAAGACTTACATATGAGCAAACATACACTGGCTCTCTGCAACAATTAGCAGTGCTTTTTTCCAGGGGAAGCATACCCCTAAACATTTTGTGAACCTTTGTACTTTTGTCCATTTACTGTATTTCTTTCCCCCAATTTGAACTATAAAATGGTGATTCTCTTGAGTCAAAATGAGAGTACCCCTAAACTTTTTTTAGGAAAACCCCCCACTGAAAATAGGAGACTGCTTTATCAATCAGAACATTGGGTTTCCCAAACTTGGGTCTCCAGCATTGTTTGGACTACAATTCCCATCAGCCCTGATCATGGGTCCTGCTAGGTAGGGATGATGGGAGTTGTAGTCCAAAAACAGCTGGAGACCCAAATTTGGGAAACTTTGATCTAGCTCGTTACTTGACAGGTAGCAACTCTCCAGTGTTTCAGCCAGGAATCTCTTCTCAGTTGTGCTTGAACATGCTGGGGATTGAAGCTGGGACCTTCCGCATGCAACACAGATGCTCAATCACGTGCTACATGCTCCCCACCCAATTCCTGCTTCAAATTCACATTTGGCATGCATGCAACACTTTGGGCTGCTCAACACCCTTGGCCTCCACTGTGGTTGTAATTGTTACATCATGGACGTTCAATGAAGCTGAATGCAGGAAGTTCCAAGACAGAGAAAAGAAAGCCCTTCTTCACACAGCACATTGTTAACCTGTGGAACTCACTTCTGCAGGATGCAGTGATAGCCACCAACCTGGATGGCTCCAAAATAGGAATGGACAACGTCATGGAGGAGAAGACCATCAAGGACTGTTAGCCATGATGGCTATGCTTTGCCTCCGTGGCTGGAGGCAGAAATGCTTCTGAATAACCGTTGCTGGAAATCACAGCAGTGGAGAAAGTGCTTATTATAGGTTTCCAAAGAGCCCTTCCATAGCCCTGGTGTCCCTCCTGCATTGTTGGACTGCTGTGTTTTTGGGGAAGGCATTGTTCCTCAGGTGAAGGTGCCTCTGAGGGTCCAGGCTCTGGCCCTCCAAATATGGGAGTTCTTTCTGAGGGCTCATGCTGTTCTGCCTCTGTTGTTTCCCGGCTCCCAACTGCTCTTCACCTGGGCTGGCTTTTTAGCTTCTCACTCTGAGTCCTGACTGCTGCTGAACTCTGGGGTCATAATGTCCAGACTCACCTCAAACAGATGATTGTAGCCAAGCCCTGACACCATCACCATCACCACCATTCTAATTTTGTAGCCGCTGTTTTGCCATGGCAATTTAAAGCAACTTACCATACATTGGTTCTCAAACTGAATCCATTCTGGGGGTCCTTTCGACTCCCGAAACTGTTCACAAACCAAGGCGCAGCTTCCGATTGGCTGCAGGAGCTTCCTGCACTCAAGCAGAAGCTGCATTGGATGTTCAGCTTCTGAAAAAAGTTCACAAACCAGAACACTTACTTCCAGGTTTGTGGCGTTCAGGAGCTGATTTGTTCAGCAACTAAGCTGTTTGGGAACCAAGGTTTGACTGTAGATACATTAAAACCAGCAACTCCTCTCTCCAAAGCCAAAAACCTGCATTATAACATCCCACACACCAAAATAATAACAATAACAATAACAATAATTATTATTTATACCCTGCCCATCTGGCTGGGTTTCCCCAACCACTCTGGGCGGCTTCCAACAGAACACTAAAATACAATAACATATTAAAAGGCCATCAATAGTTAAAATCCACTTTCCTGATTAAAAAGGAAAGTGTCTGCCTGGCACCTGCAGATATGTAACAATGGTGCCTGGTGATCTTCCCTGGGGATGGCATTCTGTGAGGAGACACTACTGAAAAGGCCCATTCTGGGGTGTGTGTGTCTAGGGCCAAGGGTCTCCTCAAACCTAGAGCCAGCCTGGCCAGGAAGAGCTTCTTGGGATAGAGAGTTGCTCCTGTTTGTGACATCATTCATATCAGAACAACTTTCATTCATTTCCCTTATTGCTTCCTTGCTTCCCGCCTTTCTTTCTCATTTATGAAGGATGAGATTCAAGCTGTCTGAAGTCCAAAAACATTGGAAGGCATTCCCTTCAGCTCTGGCCAATGTTTCCCTTCATTTCACAGAGAACCATTTGAGTGTTTTCCTAAATAGAATTCTCCTCCACTCTCTGAATGAACAATGGCTTTGAAAACACATATTCAAATCCTCCTTTTCATCTTGCACTGTTGCTGGTCCTTCTTCCCTAAGCCCAGGCTATGGCAAAAGTCAGCAAAATGGGCTAACGTGAGCTTTCAAAGTCATTTTCTTGGACAGGGAACGGGAGAATATGTCCAAAGCACTCTCTGCAGAGGGATTTCCTTTCCATTTGAGTCCACTTCAAGGCGCTGCATGAGCTTAGCCGAGTTATTTCTTTTCCCCCTCGGTCTGCCTCCAAAATAATATTTGAACCCATCAAAGCAGGATTTGTGGAATGGCTGAGACGCCTCTGTGCGTCTCTTGAGAGACAGGCCTGGAGACCGCAAACTGTACAGAAGATGGAGATCCCTGGACCAGTTTCAGCTGTGTGGAAGGAGCTGGCACAAGAATGTGCAGAGATGTTGGATGCAAAGAAAACTCAATGCCCAAGGCTTTCTGGAAGCAGTTTTCCAGGATTTCAGGAATGAATCTTTCCCCAACCCTACCTGGAGATGCCAGGCATTGAACCTGGGACTTTCTGCATGCACTGCAGATGGTTGGCTGCTGATGTACACCCTGCCCTAAGCTGCCTTCTACTGAGTCAGGCCCTTGATCCATCTAACTCAGTATTGCCAGCACTGACTGGCAGCAGCTCTCTAGGGTTTCAGTCTCATCTATCCTTACCTGGAGATGCCAGGGTTTGAACCTGGGACCTCCTGCAGGCAAAGCAGATGTCCCATCGCTGCACTACGGCAATTCATAAATACAGTTAAGGCAGGCATCCCCAAACTTGGCCCTCCAGATGTTTTGGGACTACAGTTCCCATCATCCCTGACCACTGGTCCTGTTAGCTAGGGATGATGGGAGTTGTAGTCCCAAAACATCTGGAGGGCCGAGTTTGGGGATGCCTGAGTTAAGGTGTGTGCTTTTGTGGGGATCAATGGTCTGAGTCAGACCATTGGTCCATCAAGCTCAGAACTGTCTATAATATATTATACATCCTAGAATGGCTTCCATTGTTTCCACACAACTTTGTGTCCTCCATTCTTGCAATTGAGCTACAGACCCTCCAAGTGCCCCTATTTTCCAGGGGCAGTCCCAGATTTACAGAAGCTGTTGTGGTTTCTGACTTGATCCCAGAATGTCTTGCTTTTCCTTAGGACGTCCCTATTTTCATGGGAGAAATGTTGGAGGGTATGGAGTTATCTGACCTCCAAGCCATCCGAAGGCAGCCTTTATGGGGGAGTTTTAAAATGTTTTATCATGTTTTGATATATGTTGGAAGCTGCTCAGAGTGACTGGGGCAACCCAGTCAGGTGGGGTGTATAAATGTTGTTGTTGTTGATAAATAGGATGTCCCTATTTTCATCAGAGAAATGTATAGAGCTATACCTATATCTATTTTGATACCTGCACGAAACTGCAGCTGCAGCTGCCAGTATTTACACATGATTTGCCAATGTTCATAACATTTGGGACACTTATCCTGATAGATATATGGCATGCCTTTCCCCTTAAATGACCTTTTTTAAAATAAAAAAGCAATAATAAAATAGTAAGCAGCGATATGTTGCCAAGTAAGGGTTAAAGCCTCCCATCGCTCGCATGGCTGTGGGAGTACTGAAGGAAAAGTTTAGAAAAATTATCTCTCTTTGCTGCCCCCCCACCTCCCCACACTCTGATAAGGAATGAAAAGGTGCAACTCATTCCATATGGTGCCTGAGCCCTGCATCAGTCAGACCTCTTGCAAGCCTGCCAATGCATAAGAACTTGCAAGCCTGATAAATTGGGGGGGGGGGGGGTGTCTTTCTTGTGGCCAGCCAGAGCTGAGTTCACTTTGAATGGGAAAAGAAAGAAAAAACAGTGGAAAAATGAAACTGTTATTTTTTAAGGAATGTTTTGAAGAAATTGAAACAAAGGTGGATTTTTTATTTTTGCAAGGGGCTGGTTTGTTCCTTAAAAAACACACACACACACACACACACACTCCAAAAACAACCAAATGGATGTTTCAGTAGAATGAAGGATGGGCTTTCCCTGTCCCTGCTTTTAAAGAGGTTTATCCTGACCTGATATACATTTTTGCTGCTGTTGATACGTGGTAATACTAAATTGCAATTTTGAATTGACATACTGTATTGCTGTTCTGTGTTGCTCCTTCTGTTATTTTTCCTACTGGTCCTTGATGTTTTCTAAAACTGATCTTTGAAAAATATTTTTAAATAACTACACGACAACCTCTAAAACAACATTGTAAGAACAGAGATGCGAGGGTGGGGAGGGGAGGAAATGGTGATAGTGCTCAGTGGTTAGAGCAAGAGACTCTTAATCTCAAGGTTTTGGGTTCAAGCTCTTTGGGCAAAAGATTCCTACTTTGCAGGATTTGGACTAGATGATCCTTGTGGTCCCTTCCAACTCTATGATTTTGGGTAATGTATTGATTTTCATGCATTTTGGGCTTTAATTAATTAATTAATTAATTAACAAAACAGATAAAAGTTAAAGAGCCTAAAGAAATATTGTTGCAGCAAGTTAAAAGCGGCATAAGGTTGGGCATTATCATTGAACTTGTTCCAAAACATTACAAAAAATGCAAATCTTTCCATAAACCTGTTAGGCTGGTTTATAGGTATTATTTTGTAATATGTTAGCTTAATCATAGTTACTATGGAGAAAATTTTCTCAATCCATTCAGATATAGTAGGAGATATAGTCCCCCCCAACCTTTAGCTATGATAATCATTTTCTGGAATAATATCTTTTAGACACCCAAGCAGAAATATATTTAGTTTCTGAGGGCATATAAATATCCTAACATATCAGAGATATTAGACTGAATGGATCTCCAGAATATTTCTATTTGAGAACAATACCAGGTGATGTGTATGTAATCTGCTTTATTTGCTTTATTGGCAAATTGTAAATTGCATTTTTGCTGCTCTTGTGATGTTGTGACCTGCCCTGGAAGCATCCACTCAAGGTGGGATTTAAGAATGAATGAATGAAGAGAGGGCCACACTTCACTGGTAGATGGTTCCCCAGCATGAAGTGGGTGCTGACCCTCCATTAGACAAGACTAAACATGGCAACTATGCAGCATCACAGTTCAGGGTGCCAGAAAAAAGCCCTATATGGCCTAGGACCCTCGTACCTACGGGACCGCCTCTCCTGGTATGTCCCACAGAGGAACTTACGGTCTTCAAACAAAAACATCCTGAAGGTCCCAGGCCACAGAGAGGTTAGGCTGGCCTCAACTAGAGCCAGGGCTTTTTCGGCTGTGGCTCCAATCTGGTGGAACGCTCTGTCACAAAAGACTAGGGCCCTGTGGGACCTGACATCTTTCCGCAGGGCCTGCAAGACAGAGCTGTTCCACCAGGCTTTTGGTCAGGGCACAGCCTGACTCCCTCCTTTGGCAATCTTCACAGAACTTTAGCTTAATGGTTGCCATCAATTTGAGTTGAATTAATTTTATAATGAAATGATTTTAGAATGTTGTACTATTTTATTGTTGTTAGCTGCTCTGAGCCTGGCTTCGGCTGGGGAGGGCGGGATATAAATAAAATTCATTATTATTATTATTATTATTATTATTATTATTAAAAGACAGGGACGCAGGACTTTAAATCACTTTTGGAATTTCTCGACAGTACGCACCCCTCACATTCATCCATTCATTGTACGTGGGTGTAAGATCTGCACCGTACTTCTGCGAATGTAGAAATCAAAGCCCCAAACCCTGCTAAGTTCCAGGTTCCCCTGCTAGAAATATCCTAGCTACGCTGACATCAGCTTCATGATGTGTCATCTGGGGAGGAGACCCCAAACACCCCTGTATCGTTCATTACACCATAACTAATAATTAATCCAATCAAAGTTGTCTTTAGTGAGGGAGTTCTAAGGAACCAGCACATCTTTTCCTTTCTCCTTAGGTTCAATCAGATGAAATTCCAGGTCGCTTAAGCATGTTTGTAGGTCTTCCAAAATGCCTATCGGCATGACTAACAAATCCATCAAGGCCCATCCAGGCTGAGGAAGGCTGTCATCTCTGCTTAAACGCAGACCCACGGCTGCAGTAAATCTTTCCCTGCCATGTCGGCTCAGGGATATCTTCACGGACGGCCAACAAGCTTGCAGCTAGCCGAATGTCTCCCATCTCCAGGATTACTCCGCAGCCTGCCATGAGGCAATGACGTCGCATGCCTCTCCATACAGACACGAGACCCTAGAAAAGAATAGACAAGGTCCCCATTAACTCCTGGATCTATCAGCATCTACTTCTGGGAAAGGAGGGGGCCTTAATTCTCTCCAGCTGGCTCAGCGTTATGGAAAACACCACTTCATTACTCATAAAGGTGCTCCTGAAATAATCCAACGGCTAGGGAAATCACTAGACCCTGAGCTGCATAGAATGGCCCGTTCTGGCAATCTAGGGGCACTTGAGAAATTCGTGGTTTTGCTTGCTTGTGGTTTGGTTTGTTGCTCTGCAAATCATGATAGGAACTGCCCCAATATTTATTTCTTTACTTAATGAAATTTATACAAAATTGATTGTAAGAAGAACCCCCCCAAGGAGAATAAAGCAACAAAATTATCAGTAAAATCAACTTTAGTGCACAGTCTTAGTATGCTCAGAGGTGACAACCCGGGAAAGGGCCTTTTCTGTGGTGGCCCTTAGGTTGTGGAACTCCCTCCCCACAGAGGTGCACCTGCACCTTCATTGCACAGCTTCTGGAGGATGCTGAAGACACACCTCTTTATCTGGGCTTTTGACATTTGAGGTGTATATTCCTAGGACCCTCCTAATTTTTTTAAGATTGCAAGTTGTTCTAAGTGGTTCTTAATGTTGTGATTTAATGGTGTAACCCACCCTAGGAACTTAAGAGTGAAGGGCAGGTGATAAATAAATAATACTGAACGCCACATTCCTTGGTCTCCCAGTGTGGTGTAGTGGTTAAGAGCGGTAGTCTTGCAATCTGGGGAACCGGGTTCGTGTCTCCGCTCCTCCACATGCAGCTGCTGGGTGACCTTGGGCCAGTCACACTTCTTTGAAGTCTCTCAGCCCCACTCACCTCACAGAGTGTTTGTTGTGGGGGAGGAAGGGAAAGGAGAATGTGAGCCGCTTTGAGACTCCTTAGGGTAGTGATAAAGTGGGATATCAAATCCAAACTCTTCTTCTTCTTCTCCCTCTTTTTCTTGCCTCTCATCCCACCCCGCACTGGCCCCTGAAAGGTTGTTTGGATGGGAATATGGCCCCTTTGCTGGGAAAGGCTCCCCACTCCTATTTTTACCACAACTGAACAGCAAACACATGCCAAGTGGTTGTCTTGCGTGCTCAGAAAAAGGTAAGGAGATGCTTAAGTACTGACGTTTTGAGCAAGTGCTGAGGCTGATGGTGCAGGGAGAAGCGCTAATCTCATTTGCTTCTGTGACTCAACAGGCCTTGTTTATATTTTTGCTATCTATGGCACTTCCAGGATCTGAGGATCTCTCTAGCCATTCTCCATGAATGGGATTTTGTATGTCTCAGGGTGTGTGTGTGTGTGTGTGTGTGTGTGTGTGTGTAACGGGAGCAGAAAGGGTGGATTGCTTAATCCTTCCAACTAAGTAAAATCATCTGCCCTGGCATCGATTCTGGGAGATGTACAGTTCGCTACCTTGTCAACCCGGGATATTAAATTAAGCAATTTTCATCAGATAACACATCTTCTGCTTCATGTAAAATGTCCAGCAAATCGTTGAACTCATAATTCAGCCTGATTGAAAGTGAGCTGCTAATCCGTTGCACTTTGTAGATAGGCGGTAGCGTGGCCAAGAGGCTGATTCTGCAGAATATTCCTGCTGCAGCCACACCATGCATGCAGACCCTCTTTCGTCACCGCATCTCCACCGGCAAGCTTAGGTTTGCAGGAGATAGGGATGCACTTTGCCGCCACCACCCTGCTTGCCTTTGGGATATCAGGCAAGTGTAATCTTGAAACATTTTCTAAATTCCAGGGTCTCTGCTAGGCAGGAACTTTCCTTGGTTTAGAACAGGGGTTTTCAGTCAGTGTGCTTGGCACCCTGGGGTGCCTTGAATGATGGTCAGGGGTGCCTCGGGCAACACTGGCCTCTGCCCCTCTTTCCTTCCCTCCCTCCTCTGATGCCCTCTCAAGTCTCTGCCTCCCAAAGGCTTGCACAGCTGTTTGTTGCAGCAGCCCTGGCTACAAGCTCTACAAGCAAATGGTGCCTCTGGGGCTGGCCAGGGGGTGCTGGTTGCCAGGAGCTGAGGCAGCATCAGAGTAAGCAAGCAAGCAAGCAAGCAAGCGGGCGAGGAAGCCCAGTCAGTCAGCCCATCAACCCTTGCTGTTGGCAATGGACGGGAAAGTGGGAGGCCAGGCACTGGCCTTTCTTGTGCTTGCTGTGTGCAAGGTCTGACTGGGAGTTGAGTGCCCAGTGCTGAAGGTGAGCCTTTCCGCCATGCAGGCCTGGTAGCGGTCGCTGCTGCCACTGCTGCCTCCCAAAGTAAGGTGCTGGCCTCACATTCACCTTTGGCTAGTCTCCATTGGGCCACTAAGGCTGGGTGTATCCTCTTCCAAGGCCCCTGTGGGGCAGTGTGAGGAGGCACCTCTCTGTGGGGAGGAAGGGGGCAGCTCAGAGACCAGGGGCAGCAGCAGCAGATGCCCAGAGGACTCCCAAGGAGAGGGGAGAAGAGAGGAGGCTGAGGGAACGCTCCACAAGGGAGGGTGTTCGAAAATGGGTGAGAGACTGCTAGCTCTGCAGACAAAGGGTGACATAACTGGGCTTCTGAGTCCCACAGGGGAGTCACAGAAAGATTGTAGTTGGGCAAGGGAGCCATGGCCTCAAAAAGGCTGAAAACCTCTGGTTTAGAAGAAAGGCTTGTAAGAGGTGACATTTGTTAAATCAGGGGTCAGCAAACTTGTTCAGCAGGGGGCCGGTCCACTGTCCCTCATACCTTGTGGGGGGCCCGACTATATTTTTTTGGGGGGAAATGAACAAATTCCTATGCCCCACAAATAACCCAGAGATGCATTTTAAATAAAAGGACACATTCTACTCATGTAAAAACACGCTGATTCCCGGACTGTCTGCGGGTTGGATTTAGAAGGTGATTGGGCTGGATCTGGCCCCCGGGCCTTAGTTTGCCTACCCATGTGTTAAATTATCCATGTAATGAAGAAAGCAGATAGAGAAAAGTTTCTCTCCCTTTCCCATAAAGGAAGAACTCATAGACTCCCCAATAAGCTGAATGTTGGATGGTTCAGAAAAGAAAGTTCTTGTTCAGGCAGAACAGCTAAACTAAATGGAAATGGCTCCTGCACAAGCCAGTGATGACCACCATCGTGTAAGACTTTAATAGAAGATTG